GGGTCACAGAGCACCCATGGGGGTCCTTGAGGGGGTCACAGAAGATCCATGGGGGTCCGTGGGGGGTCCAGCACGAGCACCCCGTTGTCTGATGTCCCCTTCATCCCCCTGACCCGACAGAAGATCCACGGGGGTCCCTGGGGGGTCCAGCATGAGCACCCCCTTGTCTGATGTCCCCTTCATCCCCCTGACCCAATCCTGGGGACACCTGGGGACACGGCAGGAGTTGGGGACGTCAGAGACCTCAGGGCCTGATGTCCTTGTGTCCCCAGTGCCACCTCTGTGGTCCTCCTGGTGTCCCCAGTGATGTCCCCACGTCCCTATCCATGTCCCCACTGATGACCCTAAGTCTTCTCTGATGTCCCTAAGTCTTCTCTGATGTCCCCACGTCCCCACTGATGTCCCCACCTGCCTATCCACGTCCCTACCGATGTCCCTGTGTCCCTAGTGATGTCCCCACAACATCTCCATGTCCCCGTTGACGTCCCCAAGTTCTCCATGATGTGCCCACGATGTCCCCGTGTCCCTGTCAGTGTCCCCATCGTGTCTCCACGTCCCCCGTCCCTAGTGACGGCCCCACATCCCTGTTGGTGGCCCACCTGATGTCCTCGTGCCCCTAGTGACGTCGCCACGACATCTCCATGTCCCCAGTATTGTCCCCACTGATGTCCCCCTTGATACCCCCAAGTCTTATCTGATGTCTCTATGTCCCCATGATGTGCCCATGATGTCCCCAGTGATGTCCCCACGTCCCTATCCATGTCCCCACTGATGTCCCTAAGTCTTCTTAGATGTCCCCACATCCCTATCCATGTCCCCACTGATGACCCTAAGTCTTCTCTGATGTCCCCAAGTCTTATCTGATGTCTCTATGTCCTCATGATGTGCCCACGATGTCCCCACTGATGTCACCATGTCCCTGTTGATGTCAGCACGATGTCCCCACTGATGTCCCCATGGTGTCACCATGTCCCTGTTGATGTCCCCATGGTGTCCCCACTGATGTCCCCATGGTGTCCCCACTGATGTCCCCATGGTGTCCCTATCGACGTCCCCACGTCCACCCTGGTGTCCCCACGCCCCCACCTCTTGTCCCCGCTGACGTTCCTGGACCCCACCCCACAGTGGGGGGTCACCCCGCTCCTCCCCTGTGGTGGTGTCCCCCCGGGTGACGCCGGTGTCCCCCCCGTGTCCCCCCCCCCAGGGAAGCTGCAGACGCTGGACGTGCTGCTGCGGCGCCTGAAGGCCGGGGCCCACCGCGTCCTCATCTTCACCCAGATGACGCGGATGCTCGACGTCCTCGAGCGCTTCCTCACCTACCACGGCCACATCTACCTGCGCCTGGACGGCAGCACCCGCGTGGAGCAGCGCCAGGTGGGGGGTCCTCGGGGGGGCAGGCACCCACCCCCTCCGACCTCCTCACGGGGACTCGGGTGGCCAGGAACCTCCCTGGGGTCCCACCTTGGAGCCACAGCTCAAGGGCTTGGTGGTGGTGTGGAGGATGATGGTGTCCAGGGGGGGACCCAGGTATTCAGGAGGGGACCCAGGCGGCTGGGCACCCACCTCCTTGGACCTCATGGGGACCCAGGCGACCAAGAACCTCCCTGTGGTTCTGTCTTGGAGCCACATCTCAATGGCTTCGTGGTGGCATGGAGGAACTTGGTGTCCAAGAGGGACCCAGGTGTCTACGGAGGAGCAGGGTGGACACAGGCAGCCGGGGGGACGTAGGCATTTGGGCACCCACCCCCTCTGACCTTCCCATGGAGCCCCAGGTGGCCAGGAACCTCCCTGGGGTCCCACCCTGGAGCCACTTGTCAAGGGCTTGGTGGTGGCGTGAAAGATGATGATGGAGAGTGGACCCAAGTGGGCAGGAGGGGACCCAGGGGGGCACCCACCCCCTTGGACCTCCTCATGGGGACCAAGGTGTCCAGGAGCCTCCACACGGTCTTACTTTGGAACCACATCTCAAGGGCTTGATGGAGGAACCTGGTGTCCAGAGTGGACCCAGGTGTTTGGGGGGGACAAGGGTGTCCAGGACCCCCCTCTAACCAGGGACCCTGGTGTCCGGGCGGTGCCGCGCCGTCTCCTGCAGGCCCTGATGGAACGTTTCAACGCCGACAAGCGCATCTTCTGCTTCATCCTCTCCACCCGCAGCGGTGGGGTTGGGGTCAACCTGGCGGGGGCCGACACCGTCATCTTCTACGACAGCGACTGGAACCCCACCATGGACGCCCAAGCCCAGGACAGATGTCACCGCATTGGCCAGACCCGTGACGTCCACATCTACCGGTGCGTTCCTCCACCCACCCCCTTGGACCTCCTCATGGAGGAAACCCAGGTGGCCAAGAACCTCCCTGTGGTCCTGTCTTGGCGCCACATCTCAAAGGCTTGATGGAGGAGCCTGGTGTCCAAGAGTTTGATGGAGGATCTTCACCTGGAGGCCTGGGTCCACCATGGTCACTCCCCACCCACTTTGTCCCCCCTCCCTCAGGCTCATTAGCGAGAGGACGGTGGAGGAGAACATCCTCAAGAAGGCCAACCAGAAGAGGATGCTGGGAGATATGGCCATCGAGGGGGGACTGATGTCCCCACCTGCCTATCCACGTCCCTACCGATGTCCCTGTGTCCCTAGTGATGTCCCCACAACATCTCCATGTCCCCGTTGACGTCCCCAAGTTCTCCATGATGTGCCCACGATGTCCCCGTGTCCCTGTCAGTGTCCCCATCGTGTCTCCACGTCCCCCGTCCCTAGTGACGGCCCCACATCCCTGTTGGTGGCCCACCTGATGTCCTCGTGCCCCTAGTGACGTCGCCACGACATCTCCATGTCCCCAGTATTGTCCCCACTGATGTCCCCCTTGATACCCCCAAGTCTTATCTGATGTCTCTATGTCCCCATGATGTGCCCATGATGTCCCCAGTGATGTCCCCACGTCCCTATCCATGTCCCCACTGATGTCCCTAAGTCTTCTTAGATGTCCCCACATCCCTATCCATGTCCCCACTGATGACCCTAAGTCTTCTCTGATGTCCCCAAGTCTTATCTGATGTCTCTATGTCCTCATGATGTGCCCACGATGTCCCCACTGATGTCACCATGTCCCTGTTGATGTCAGCACGATGTCCCCACTGATGTCCCCATGGTGTCACCATGTCCCTGTTGATGTCCCCATGGTGTCCCCACTGATGTCCCCATGGTGTCCCTATCGACGTCCCCACGTCCACCCTGGTGTCCCCACGCCCCCACCTCTTGTCCCCGCTGACGTTCCTGGACCCCACCCCACAGTGGGGGGTCACCCCGCTCCTCCCCTGTGGTGGTGTCCCCCCGGGTGACGCCGGTGTCCCCCCCGTGTCCCCCCCCCCAGGGAAGCTGCAGACGCTGGACGTGCTGCTGCGGCGCCTGAAGGCCGGGGCCCACCGCGTCCTCATCTTCACCCAGATGACGCGGATGCTCGACGTCCTCGAGCGCTTCCTCACCTACCACGGCCACATCTACCTGCGCCTGGACGGCAGCACCCGCGTGGAGCAGCGCCAGGTGGGGGGTCCTCGGGGGGGCAGGCACCCACCCCCTCCGACCTCCTCACGGGGACTCGGGTGGCCAGGAACCTCCCTGGGGTCCCACCTTGGAGCCACAGCTCAAGGGCTTGGTGGTGGTGTGGAGGATGATGGTGTCCAGGGGGGGACCCAGGTATTCAGGAGGGGACCCAGGCGGCTGGGCACCCACCTCCTTGGACCTCATGGGGACCCAGGCGACCAAGAACCTCCCTGTGGTTCTGTCTTGGAGCCACATCTCAATGGCTTCGTGGTGGCATGGAGGAACTTGGTGTCCAAGAGGGACCCAGGTGTCTACGGAGGAGCAGGGTGGACACAGGCAGCCGGTCCCTGTTGATGTCAGCACGATGTCCCCACTGATGTCCCCATGGTGTCACCATGTCCCTGTTGATGTCCCCATGGTGTCCCCACTGATGTCCCCATGGTGTCCCCACTGATGTCCCCATGGTGTCCCCATGGTGTCCCTATCAACGTCCCCACGTCCACCCTGGTGTCCCCGCTGACGTTCCTGGACCCCACCCCTATCGACGTCCCCACGTCCACCCTGGTGTCCCCACGCCCCCACCTCTTGTCCCCGCTGACGTTCCTGGACCCCACCCCACAGTGGGGGGTCACCCCGCTCCTCCCCTGTGGTGGTGTCCCCCCGGGTGACGCCGGTGTCCCCCCCGTGTCCCCCCCCCCAGGGAAGCTGCAGACGCTGGACGTGCTGCTGCGGCGCCTGAAGGCCGGGGCCCACCGCGTCCTCATCTTCACCCAGATGACGCGGATGCTCGACGTCCTCGAGCGCTTCCTCACCTACCACGGCCACATCTACCTGCGCCTGGACGGCAGCACCCGCGTGGAGCAGCGCCAGGTGGGGGGTCCTCGGGGGGGCAGGCACCCACCCCCTCCGACCTCCTCACGGGGACTCGGGTGGCCAGGAACCTCCCTGGGGTCCCACCTTGGAGCCACAGCTCAAGGGCTTGGTGGTGGTGTGGAGGATGATGGTGTCCAGGGGGGGACCCAGGTATTCAGGAGGGGACCCAGGCGGCTGGGCACCCACCTCCTTGGACCTCATGGGGACCCAGGCGACCAAGAACCTCCCTGTGGTTCTGTCTTGGAGCCACATCTCAATGGCTTCGTGGTGGCATGGAGGAACTTGGTGTCCAAGAGGGACCCAGGTGTCTACGGAGGAGCAGGGTGGACACAGGCAGCCGGGGGGACGTAGGCATTTGGGCACCCACCCCCTCTGACCTTCCCATGGAGCCCCAGGTGGCCAGGAACCTCCCTGGGGTCCCACCCTGGAGCCACTTGTCAAGGGCTTGGTGGTGGCGTGAAAGATGATGATGGAGAGTGGACCCAAGTGGGCAGGAGGGGACCCAGGGGGGCACCCACCCCCTTGGACCTCCTCATGGGGACCAAGGTGTCCAGGAGCCTCCACACGGTCTTACTTTGGAACCACATCTCAAGGGCTTGATGGAGGAACCTGATGTCCAGAGTGGACCCAGGTGTTTGGGGGGGACAAGGGTGTCCAGGACCCCCCTCTAACCAGGGACCCTGGTGTCCGGGCGGTGCCGCGCCGTCTCCTGCAGGCCCTGATGGAACGTTTCAACGCCGACAAGCGCATCTTCTGCTTCATCCTCTCCACCCGCAGCGGTGGGGTTGGGGTCAACCTGGCGGGGGCCGACACCGTCATCTTCTACGACAGCGACTGGAACCCCACCATGGACGCCCAAGCCCAGGACAGATGTCACCGCATTGGCCAGACCCGTGACGTCCACATCTACCGGTGCGTTCCTCCACCCACCCCCTTGGACCTCCTCATGGAGGAAACCCAGGTGGCCAAGAACCTCCCTGTGGTCCTGTCTTGGTGCCACATCTCAAAGGCTTGATGGAGGAGCCTGGTGTCCAAGAGTTTGATGGAGGATCTTCACCTGGAGGCCTGGGTCCACCATGGTCACTCCCCACCCACTTTGTCCCCCCTCCCTCAGGCTCATTAGCGAGAGGACGGTGGAGGAGAACATCCTCAAGAAGGCCAACCAGAAGAGGATGCTGGGAGATATGGCCATCGAGGGGGGAAACTTCACCACCGCCTACTTCAAGCAGGTAGTTGAGGACCCAGGTGTCCAGGCAGCGACATCCTTGGACCTCCTCCTGGGGACCGAGGTGGCCAGGAACCTTCTCCTGGTTCCACCTTGGAGCCACATCTCAAGGGCTTCGTGGTGGCAGAGGGGATCCAGGAGTTTAGAGGGGGGGACCCAGGCAAGATCGTGAGAGTCAGGAGAGCCTGGGGGGCTGGAGGGAACAAGGTCTCTAGATGGTCAGGAGAACCTGGGGTTTGGAGTGATCAAGGTCTCCGGGGGGTTCAGGAAAACTTGGGGGTCTGGGGGGAGGTTTGGGGGGGACCCAGGGGTCCAGGCAGTGACCTCTCCCTTGTCCCCCAGCAAACCATCCGGGAGCTCTTCGACATGGCCCCTGAGGAACCGGGCCGTCGGGAGCCCGAGAGGGACAAGGAGAGGGACGGGGACGTCCCCAACGAGGAGGATGAGGACCCAGTGGCCACCCGGCGCACCCACATCCTGGAGCAGGTGGGGTCACCCCCCAGTGTCCCCCCTCCGATGTCACCCTGATGCCATCCCGTGTCCTCACCTCCCCTCCCCTGGTGGTCCCAGTGGCCCACATGTCCCCAACAGCCCTGATGTCCCCAACATTCCTGGTACCACTCACATCTCTTTGTCTCCTAGTGTCCCTTGTGTCTTCTGATGTCCCCAACAGCCTTGATGGCCCTTGTTCTCCCTCACATCCCCATGCCCCCAGTGTCCCCAACCCCCTCATGACCCTTGTTCTCCCTCACATCCCCATGGTGTCCCTCACGTCCCTGATGTCCCTCATGGACCCCGGTGTCCTTCATGCCCCCAGTGGCCCCAACGCCCTGATCTCCCTGATGTCCGTCCATCTCCTTGATGTCCCCAACATCCCAGATGGCCCTTGATCTATCTCATCATCTTGATCCACCCCCATCCCCGATGTCCTTCATGGACTCACCATCCCTGTGGCCCCTGATGTCCCCAACCCCCCGGTGTCCCTCACATCCCTGATGTCCCTCATGTCCCTCGGTATCCCCAATGGTCCCAACACCCAGATCTCCTCGATGTCCCCAACATCCCAGATGCCCCTTGATCTCCACCTCATCATCTTTGATTCACCACCACCCCTGATGTCCTTCGTGTCCCTCACGGACCCACTATCCCTGTGGCCCCCGGTGTCCCTCACTCACATCCCTGATGTCCCCTCTGTCCCCAGGCGCTGTGTGGGGCAGAGGACCCCGAGGACATCCGGGCGGCCTCGCAGGCCCAGGCCGAGCGGGTGGCGGCCATGGCCGAGTTCAGCGAGAGCCTCAGCCCTGAGGAGGAGCGAGGTGGCCCCGAGCCGGAGGAAGAGCTCTCCAAGGCCGAGCAGGAGATCGCTGCCCTGGTTGAGCAGGTGGGGACCCAGGTGTCCGGGGGGTTCAGGAGAACCTGGAGGTTGGAGGAACCGTGGTCTCCATGAGGGTCAGGAGAACCTGGGGGTCTGGGAGGACCAAGATCTCCATGGGGTTCAGGAGAACCTGAGGGGCTGGAGAGACCGAGGTCTCTGTGGGGTTCAGGAGAAGCTGGGGTTCAGGGAGAACCTGAGGGTGTGGATGGACAAAGGTCTTCAGGGGATTTTAGGAGAACTTTGGGGGCTGGAGAGACTGTGGTCTCCGTGATGGTCAGGAGAACCTGGAGGTTGGAGGAACCATGGTCTCCATGAGGGTCAGGAGAACCTGGGAGTCTGGGAGGACCAAGATCTCCATGGGGTTCAGGAGAACCTGAGGGGCTGGAGAGACCGAGGTCTCTGTGGGGTTCAGGAGAAGCTGGGGTTCAGGGAGAACCTGAGGGTGTGGATGGACAAAGGTCTTCAGGGGATTTTTAGGAGAACTTTGGGGGCTGGAGAGACTGTGGTCTCCATGGGGGTTCAGGAGAACCTGGAGGTTGGAGGAACCATGGTCTCCATGAGGGTCAGGAGAACCTGGGGG